CTGTGCTGACTCTATATATACATACAGAGATCTGATTGGCTGCTGTGAAGGGGCGGAGTTTAGCCTCACCTCAAGCGTCCTTTATTTGACTCTGAGTTTCTGTTTCGGGTCAGTTCATCATCGGAGAGGACGGCACATGTGGAGGTCACAGTCTTCACACCGTCGCTGATGGGATCATCTCTCTGGATATTTTAGACTACATCAACACAAACATGTGAGTCTCACACACACACACACACACACACACAAACACACACACACACACAGGAGGAAGAGTCAGGGTCATGTGATCTGTTCTGGGTTATCTTAAAGGTCAAAGGTCAGCGAGTTTCTCTGACCTGTTAAAACTGATTTTTCTTTTTGTGTTTTCAGGAGCAAAGAGAAACCGGAGAGCTCCAAGTCCCCGGTGAAGGACTTACCGAGTCCTCAGAAACTCCAGTTCAACATCTCACCGGAGATCAGCGAGGACATCCAGGAGGCCAAGGAGCACATGGACATGTGAGCGAGTCCTCTGAGAGACGCACCTGAGAGTGAACGAGTCAGAGAGTCAGCGAGTCTGAGAGTGAACGAGTCAGAGAGTGAACGAGTCAGAGAGTCAAAGAGTCACAGAGTCTGAGAGTGAACGAGTCAGAGAGTCAGAGAGTCTGAGAGTGAACGAGTCAGAGAGTCTGAGAGTGAACGAGTCAGAGAGTCAGAGAGTCTGAGAGTGAACGAGTCAGCGAGTCAGAGAGTGAACGAGTCAGAGAGTGAACGAGTCAGCGAGTAAACAAATCAGAGAGTCAGCGAGTGAACGAGTCAGAGAGTGAATGAGTCAGAGAGTGAACAAGTCAGAGAGTAAACGAGTCAGAGAGTAAACGAGTCAGAGAGTCAGAGAGTCAACGAGTCTGAGACTGAACGAGTCAGAGAGTCAGAGAACTAAACTGTAAACCACTGCAGGAAGTTTCCCTGAACTCTTGTCTTCACTGAGAATCAAGTTTCAAACACACTGAGATCATCAGAGGAATAAAAACCTCTCCTCTTTCTCTCTCCCCCTCCCCTCCTTCCTTCCTCCTCTCCTCTTTCTCTCTCCCCCTCCCCTCCTTTCTTCCTCCTCTCCTCTTTCTCTCTTCCCCTCCCCTCCTTCCTTCCTCCTCTCCTCTTTCTCTCTCCCCCTCCCCTCCTTCCTTCCTCCTCTCCTCTTTCTCTCTCCCCCTCCCCTCCTTCCTTCCTCCTCTCCTCTTTCTCTCTCCCCCTCCCCTCCTTCCTCCTCTCCTCTTTCTCTCTCCCCCTCCTTCCTTCCTCCTCTCCTCTGTCTCTCTCCCCCTCCTTCCTTCCTCCTCTCCTCTTTCTCTCTCCCCCTCCTTCCTTCCTCCTCTCCTCTTTCTCTCTCCCCCTCCCCTCCTTCCTTCCTCCTCTCCTCTTTCTCTCTCCCCCTCCCTTCCTTCCTCCTCTCCTCTTTCTCTCTCCCCCTCCCCTCCTTCCTTCCTCCTCTCCTCTGTCTCTCTCCCCCTCCCTTCCTTCCTCCTCTCCTCTGTCTCTCTCCCCCTCCCCTCCTTCCATCCTCCTCTCCTCTTTCTCTCTCCCCCTCCCCTCCTTCCTTCCTCCTCTCCTCTTTCTCTCCCCCCTCCCCTCCTTCCTCACCCCTCTGTCCCCCCCAGGTTGGCCACAGGTCTGGACATGAAGGGGAAAATCTTTGAGCACTTTGGGAAACACAATCTGAAGTCTTTAAAGACCAGTCCTGACGCCTTCGTGCAGATGGCGCTGCAGCTGGCCTACTTCAGGTGAGAGGATGAAAAAGAAACCAGCGTTTAGACTCATCCACCAATGAGACAGTCTGTAGATGTTTCATATGAAACAGCGCCCTCTGCAGACCACAGCTCAGAGAGACCGTCTTCCAAAGCTGAGCTGTCAGATCCTCAGAGTTCACGATGAAAACATGATCCCGTCATAAATGTTTGTTATTTCCTCTCCTGGTCAGGACGTACCAGCAGGTGGCGCTCACGCTGGAGCCCGTCACTCTGCGGCTCTTCAGACGAGGACGTTTGGCACTCGTGAACTCATTGTCGAGCGCCTCGGCGGCTTTCATCAGAGCGTTTGACGATCCTCAGGTTCAGGTCTGATAGTCCGTCTCTGTTTCTATCATTTCAGATTATCAGTAAGAACAAAAGTCTCTACGTGAACTTTGAAAAGTGACCCGATCAACCTCTGAGGGAAAAACCCAAAACCTGAATTTAACCTCTGATAAAGTCATAAAGTTTTTTTTCTTCAGCTTCAATCATTCCTGATTTTTTTGTGTTTGAACAGAATCTAGAAAAACTTCATCTGCTGGAGAAGGCCATCAAAGCTCACCGGTGGACCATAACCATGGTGAGATACACTCCACTGTCACTGACCGAGCTGCAGTTTACCTGTCTATGGAGAGGGGCCGACACGGACCGGACATGTAGATATAAACGCACATAAATAATCAATATATAAAATTTAGATATGTAGATATAAAAGATATAGATTTATAGATGTAGATGTTTAATGATGATAAATATATGAGATATAGATTTATTCATGTAGATATGAACTGAGCAGAGTTATGAATGATGGCTCAGCATGGAACAGAGACCGTGATCTGAGGTGTGGTCTACAGACAGTCTGCTCCTCTCAGGGTCTTCTTACTCACGGGTTTTACCACCAAAATAAAGGAGGTTCTCCCGTGACCCCCCAGAGAACCTCAAAGTCTCTGTTTTTCAGGGAGTCCGGGGTCAGGCAATAGACGGACACCTTTTCGGTTTGATGATGCAGGCGATCGAGGACGATATCCCCACTCCTGAGATCTTCACAGATGTCTCCTTCGAGAAAGCATTCTCAGACTTCCAGCTGTTAACCAGCCAGGTGAGGGCGGGGGGCGGGGCTTAAACGTTTGATCTAAACATGTGTATGTGTGTATGTATCAGATGGAGACCTCTCTGTTGAGATCACACTGAAGTTCTCATGTCTGGATCTTCTCCCTTCTGCTCCATCAGGCCACAGCAAAGACCGGGATCATTCCCTGTTTCGGTCCTGAGGTTCCTGGAAAGTTCAGCATCTCTTACGGCGTCATGGACAAACACATCGAGTTTATGGTGTACTACTTCGACGGTCCTGAGAGCAGCAGAGAGAAGACGTCGGCGGGGATGCTGCGGGCCGTGGAGGAGGCTCTGCTGGACATGAGGACCCTGTTAGAACAAACCCAGAGAGACCGGAACCAAGTCTGACCCGGACCTCCACTGTCGGAACTTCATCATCATCGTCATGTTCATATTAAAATTAGAGTGTAAACTATCAGTGATCAATACGATCAATAACCAGGATCAATATGATGATTATTGTCTGTACCTGATTCAGCAGATTTATTTACTGTGTAAAAAGTTTGTTATTAAAGTCTGACTGTGACTCAGAGACCAGGAGGTGATTCAATGAGAGGAGGAGGAGGAGGAGGAGGAGCAGAGGAGGAGGAGGAGCAGAAGGAGAGGAGGAGAGAGAGAGAGAAAGAGAGAGAAAGAGTGGAGGAGGAGGAGAGAGAGAGGAGGAGGAGAGAGAGAGAGAAAGAGTGGAGGAGGAGGAGAGAGAGAGGAGGAGGAGAGAGGAGGTGATTCAATGAGAGGAGGAGGAGGAGGAGAGGAGGGGGAGGAGAGAGGGGGAGGAGAGAGAGAGAGGAGAGAGAGAGAGAGGAGGAGAGATAGAGGAGGAGAGAGAGGAGGAGCAGAGAGAGAGAGGAGGAGAGAGAGGAGGTGATTTAATGAGAGGAGGAGGAGGAGGAGCAGAGAGAGAGGAGAGAGGAGGAGAGAGAGAGGAGGTAGGAGAGAGAGGAGAGAGAGGAGGAGGAGGAGCAGAGGAGGAGAGAGGAGGGGGAGGAGAGAGAGAGAAAGAGTGGAGGAGGAGAGAGAGAAGAGAGAGGAGGAGGAGGAGAGAGAGAGGAGGAGAGAGTGGAGGAGAGAGAGAGAGAGGAAAGAGAGAGAAAGAGAGAGAAAGAGTGGAGGAGGAGGAGAGAGAGAGAGAGGAGGTAGGAGAGAGAGGAGAGAGAGGAGGAGGAGAGAGGAGGTGATTTAATGAGAGGAGGAGGAGGAGCAGAGAGAGGAGGAGGAGAGAGGGGGGAGGGGGAGGAGAGAGAGAGAGAGAGGAGCAGAGGAGGAGGAGGAGGAGGTGGAGCAACAGGAGGTTAGGGTTTTCCAGTAAGTCTAAATACCTTGTGGCGTTGAGACGCTCTCAAACCTGATTGGTCAGAATCAGGAAATATTTCTGGGTTCATAAAGACACTGAAGCAGGAAGTTCAGAGACATTTAATTATAACTTATAAAAGGTAATAAGATAGTTTATTAATGTTTAATTATCTTTAAAAACAGCATATAGACCATTAATAAATGGTTAATAGATATTTTATTAATGTTACTTCATAGTTACTTTACCATAAAGTAGGAATGAAGTTAAAGTTAATAATTTAAATTGATTATTAATGGACTATTGATTAAAGGTTTATTGGTTGTCAAACATGTAATTAAATTGTTTGTAAATGTTAATATTTGTTTTATAAATCATCTATAAACATGAATTAGGTCATTATTATAAAGTTTAAAATGATAAAAATGATCATTTATTATTATTATTATTATTATTATTATTACTATCATTATTATTATTATTATTAAAGGTCTTTAAGCCGTTTATAAACGATCATTAAACATTATTGATCTTTTTACCTTTTATCAGTTATTAGAAAGTGTTTCTTCTTCATCCTGGTTTATGTGGACCCTGGGTTTAGACCCAGGTCCGGCTCAGACAGTGGGTCCATGTTGCAGTACCGGTGGGTTCTGGTAGAGGGAACTGATGGTCTGGTCTCCCCTGGTCTGGTCTCGGCTGTCTCTGGTTTCAGCTGGTCCCTCAGCAGGATTTAGTGTCCTGCAGCTGTCCCCCCATGGACACCCGAGCTGACCAGCTGAGAGGGTTACAAAACCCCCCAAACTCAGACCAGCAGACCCCTCTATGTACTGCACACAGGTCCTGGTCTTTCTGATCCGTGTTTACAGAGACATGGTGGACCCTGATAGACCCATCCTGTCTCTGAGGACAGTAAAGCTGCTGTCCTCCTGAACGGGGGGGTTCCTGTAGAGATAAGGGACTTATGTCAGAGAAGAGGACCTCAGTGGAAACATGGAGGTCAGCAGGATCAGGGTCTCTGATGGAGTTCTGGGTTCAGGGTCTCAGAGTCCCAACATGATCAAAGTTTTTAAAGAGAGACGAAGACGGACGAGAGGGACGAGTTTTTATTTACATACTAATAAAGGGGGGGTGGGGTCTTCATGTGTCCTCTCTGGACTCAGAGACTCAAAGATCCAGGATCTTCAGGGTCATCAGGGGGGCACTCACAAGAACTTTTAAAAGAGCCTGAAGTGAGAGAGAAAATAAACATCAGAGAAACACAAACAAAAAACAGCTGGGAGATCTATCTATCTATCTATCTATCTATCTATCTATCTAGATAGATAGACAGATAGATAGATAGACAGATAGATAGATAGATAGATAGATAGATAGATAGACAGATAGATAGATAGATAGATAGATAGAGCAGGCCCGGCAGCACGGGCGGGCATTGGGGGGCCGCCCGCCCACCCAGTCAGCTGTGCCCGCCCTGAACTTAAAGCAAAATTTTCTATTGGTTTGATTTGGAGTTTGTTTTTCCCGTCAGAGTGGTCAATCAATCAAACCAATCCAATCGATCGAAGGCAACGTGTTAGCCAATTACAGGTAAAGGGGGGCGGGCCGCTTACCAAGTCAAAGGTCAAATATTCATAGATGGACTCAGCGCAGTGGGAGAAGCATCGGTGTTCTGATGGATATAAGAGGTTATTTTGTTCGCAGGAAGCAGCGAAGCCAACAGTCAGACCAGCGTAAACATTCATGTTAGCGGAGGGAGCAGCAGGAGCAGCAGGAGCAGCAGGAGCAGCAGGAGCAGCAGGAGTAGCAGGAGCAGCAGGAGCAGCAGGGGCAGCAGGAGCAGCAGGAGCAGCAGGAGTAGCAGGAGCAGCAGGGGCAGCAGGAGTAGCAGGAGCAGCAGGAGCAGCAGCGAGACCCTCCTGTCTGGAAACACCAGTGAAGGCCCTGAAGATCAGGACCATCCAGTCCTGGTTCTGGTCCTTGTCCCCCTTTAGTCCAGGGTCCTGAATCTCTGAGAGACTCCGCCTCTCTGAGGGTCTGTCTAAGACCGGGTCATGTGACTAAACTGTTGGACCTTCACCTTCATATAAATTAGAGATGTTGTTCCTCCATCAGAACTTCGGACCGGTCTGGTTGTTCCTCTCAGAACTTCGGACCGGTCTGGTTGTTCCTCCATCAGAACTTCTGACCGGTCTGGTTGTTCCTCCATCAGAACTTCTGACTGGTCTGGTGGTTCCTCTCAGAACTTCGGACTGGTCTGGTTGTTCCTCTATCAGAACTTCTGACTAGTCTGGTTGTTCCTCCATCAGAACTTCTGACTGGTCTGGTTGTTCCTCTCAGAACTTCTGACTGGTCTGGTTGTTCCTCTCAGAACTTCTGACTGGTCTGGTTGTTCCTCCATCAGAACTTCTGACTGGTCTGGTTGTTCCTCCATCAGAACTTCTGACTGGTCTGGTTGTTCCTCCATCAGAACTTCTGACTGGTCTGGTTGTTCCTCTCAGAACTTCTGACTGGTCTGGTTGTTCCTCTCAGAACTTCGGACCGGTCTGGTTGTTCCTCCATCAGAACTTCGGACTGGTCTGGTTGTTCCTCTCAGAACTTCTGACTGGTCTGGTTGTTCCTCCATCAGAACTTCGGACCGGTCTGGTTGTTCCTCTCCATTGTTGATTAAACCGTCCTTCATGAACTCTCTCTCTCTCTCACCTGTTGTTTTATTTCAATGATTGTTTTTTTAAATTTCTTCATGTTGCAGAAAAGTGAATAATTAAAGTGATTAAAAGTTTGTGTCCTGTCGTGGTCGTGGTCCGGTCCGGTGGTGGGCTCTGATTGGTTGGAGGAGGTTGTTTCTCCGTCTTCAGGGTGAGCAGACAGAGGGGTCTGTGGGGGAGGGGGAGCAGATGGTGGATTATCTAAGCGGAGCTTTTATTGCTGTTTGTCTCTTTAAATGAAGAGTCCTTGTCTCTGATGATCCTTCAGAGGGTTTCAGTTTAAGGTCCTTCATGATCGATCAGACTGATCACTGTTATTGATCACCTCCTTATTACTGCATGATGGATGATTGACAGCTGAGTGGCAGTTACTAAACCTTGTTACCAAAGCATGACCAAGCACACATGCACACGCACGCACACACACACACACACACACACATAGCTCCATATGTGGATGAACAGCTGGAGTTGAAGGTGTGTGTTTGTGTAAACAGAGCGTGTTGTAACAGCGGGCTGCTGAGGTGTGTGTTGGTGTGTGTGTGTGTGTGTGTGTTGGGGGTGGGGGTCAGTGTTTGATTGACAGGGACAGCCTCGGCCTCCTGTTGGTCAGCACTTCTCGGCGCCTCTCTCTCTCTGTTTCGCTCCCATCTTTGAATCTTTCTGCGTTTCTTCGATCAGACGTTCAGCTGAGGGTTCGAATCTCGGCGTCGCTCCATCATCTTCATCTTCATCTTCATCAGATCACAGCTGGATCTGCACTGACGGGTGTCTGACAGGGTGGAGGTGGCAAACATGGCTGCCACGTCCCATCATGCCCCCCTGGGTGTGGGCAGCCAATGGGGAGGCGGTGTGAGGTGATGATGCAGGTCGACCCCCCTGGTATAAAGGCGTGCGGCGCGGTGTGGGCCCTCCTGAGCAGTTGGAGCATTCCCAGCCTCGCCTCGGGTGGAGGGATTGCGAGGAGGAAAAGCAAAACTACACGGCCTCACTGTGTAGTTTTGTTTTTTTCAGGGGGGATATTCGGAGGCTCGACCGTTCTCATCTTGGATTTTTCTGGAAACACCGTCTGGATAAGGAGACTAGTTTGAATCGCCTGGGCTCCGTCCCATCAGTGCGAGGCGCCCTTGTGGAAACAGGTGAGTGACCCGCCGCACTCTGACGGGGCTGCAGGAGGGGTGGATGTGGTTGACGGGGTCGGAGGTTGAGGTTGTTTTTTCTGTGTTTGTGAGACTTTGGCGTGGTTCTGGTTGGATTTGGACGCGGCGGCCTCGTGCAGCGGTGATCTGAGAAAGGCCAAGAATAGCCGCTGAGAGCATGCAGCAGGCCTGTCAGCTGGGCGGCTGATGGCTTTTTAAGGGAATCAGCAGCAGGGCTATCACCTCACCTCCAGCTATGTGCACATGGTGGCTGTCAATCACAGCGCGGGGTCAGGGCGGGGGGGTGGGGCTATTTTTGGCGACTGCCTTATGTGTCGCTCAGAGTCCGATCTGTAAATATCAGCTGATCTGATTCCTGCATCTTTGGCTTTTGGTG